AATTTTCTTGATTTTTTAGGCCCTTGGGTGGCTTGCACACTTTCATTCTTGGTGAGAAGTCTCCTGCCACATCCTGCATCACACATTTTGCACTGTACAGTATCTGAAATTGGAAATGTTACCATCATCATTAATGAAGGTGTTGAGTTTTCACTTCTTTGGTCTACTCTTCCCCAAAATCACTCCCTCTTTCCCCTTAATTTTTCTCATTTTCTCTTTCTTGAATCTTTCTAATCTGGACTGAATTAAAATCACTCTTAGCTAGTTTTCTGTTGAATCTTATGCACACTTGTAGTCTAATTAGAACTCTTGTGGCAATTTTAAACAACTCTAGTCCTGAATATAGATGGTTGCGGGGTATCCGTTGCGGATACCCACTATCCGCTGGTGCATACCCCCCAGCGCCAACGGATACCCGCCAGGGGGTGCGGATTTGGCTGCAGATGGCCATTCCCCCCCCCCCCCAAAAAAAAACTGGCGGATATCTGGGTATCCCCAGGGATACCCAAGGCCAATGGCCGGCTGGAAGGGTTTCCTTCCAGCCGGCAAGGTCCTCCCAGTAGGTAAGGATGTACCTGGCCGGCTGGAAGGATTTCCTTCTGGTCAACAAGGTACATGTACCTTGTTGACCGGAAGGACTTCCTTCCAGCTGGCAAGTTACATGTACCTTGCCAACTGGAAGGGTTTGAGGATGTACCTCACCAGCTGGAAGGAAAACCTCCCAGCCGGTACCTCGCAGGCCATTTAAAGGGCGGGTATCTGAAGATACCCGGTCGGATACCCGCTAAGGTGGAGGGATACCCGCCAGCGGTGTAAGACTAAAAAGTGGCTGTGAAACCCTTTTGCTGAATTGAGAAGGGGAAAAATGGAGGTGCAAACTCTGCCCTTCTATACTATCAGAAACAAGACCCACCAAGCTTAGCTTGGAAAGTTTTAATAACGTGATAGGATTGGGTGGTTCCGGTATAAACTTTGTTTTATGAAAAGTTGTTGAATTTTTGGCGAAAAGGCCGAATAAAAAATACTTTTTGATTCTTGAAGAGAGGGCTAATGTGCTCGCATCAAAGACTGAAGAAGGGCTAATGTGCTCCTTCAGGACCGATCTAAAAAGAATAAAGAACCAATGGTTTTTTCATTTTTAAGCTGCAGTCAATATGAGTTAAATATTCTAACTACAAGAGGTTCAAGTTGTGGGTCTAAGAACTCATGGCATAAAAAAAGAAAAGACAATGGCCGTTGAATAAGATTGTGGCAGGTGAGTGAAAGGAAAGAAGAGAGAGACGAGCGAAATTTCAACAAAAGTAAAGGTTGAATATGTAATTGCTGATGAAATAAAACCGTTATGTTATGTAACAGATGAAAAAGATTTATATAATTGTTTTGTAACTGGTGAGTTATATACTGATGAACTGCTGAGTGAATGAACTATGAACTGAATGAGTTGTGAAATATGGAGACAACAAATGGGGGGAAGAGAGCCTCCTTTTATAGACAAATGTGAGGGAATTTAGCTCCAGGGAAGAGAAGAAAGACTGGTTTTAGCTGGCCTGTAGGTACAAATAAGTGAATTTAGCTAGTCTGATCATGCAAGTGACGGAACTTAACTAGTGAGGCTGTGTACAATTAATGTCAGGGGCTGTGCTGCAGTGCGTAAATAATGTGAGAAAGTGTCAAATGAGGCAATAAATTGTGGGAAAAATTCAGCTGTTGTCATAAATGAGGTGAGAAAATTAATAATCTGTGGGAAAAGTAATTCAATCAAGACTGCACAGCATGCAAAGGCAGTGCATGAGGTGACAAATAAAACCAAACTAATTTATGCAGTGAAGATAAAGAGGTGTGGGAAATTATGTGTATACGGTGAGCTGTGTATAAGCATAACTGAGAGGTGGTTTGAGGGTTGTGACATGTGCTTGACTGGGTATTGGCTTTGTGGTATGCGTTTGTAGGGGCAACGGTGGGCCAGCTGCGCTAACTGTAGCGTTAGCGTAGCATAGTGTAGCAAAAAACCGCTACAATTTAGCATAGCGCTAGCGCTTTTCTCATTTTCTGCGCTAACGCTACGCACATGGGGAAAAAACTTGTGCTAACGTTTAGCGTAGCGTTAGCGCAATTCCCCCCATCTGCGCTAACGCTACGCGCGCAGGGCGCAAAAAACCGCCCGCTACGCTGCGCTACAGCAGTTTTTAGGTGTTTTTTGCTGCTAAAAACGCTGTAGCGGAGCGTACAGAAGTGTAGCGGCGCAAGAGGCGGCGCTAACACTACACAAAACCTGGGCTAGTGTAGAGCACCGCTCCAAATAAGCATAGCACAGGCGTCTGTAGCGGCGCGCTACCACTACCACAAAAAAAAGAAATTGTGGTGCCGCTACCGCTAACGCTACTGGGGCTTGTAGCGTAGGCGCCCCACCGCTGGTAGGGGGGAAACTTTCCAATTCCGGGAGGGTTCCAATGATGCGTCAGGTGATTACCTAGGCTGAAATTGTCCATAGAGTCAATTTCTGAAGCCGGTATAGGTTGATTTCTGAGAGAATATATGAGAAAAATGTATTTAAAGAAAAAACCTGAAATTTTTACATATTAAATTACCACAGCGGCTGCGGTGTAAGACTCAAAAGTGGCTGTGAACCCTTTTGCTGAATGGAGAAGGGGATGGTGGAGTTGCAAGCTCTGCCCTTCTATGCTATCAGAACAACAAGACCACCAAGCTTAGCTTGGCAGTTATATTTATCGTGATAGAGGATAGTTCAAGATGAAGCTTCCGAGTGATGTTTATAAGGGTCTGAAGTTATAAATGAGTGATGATTATATTAATGAAGCTGTTGTTCAAAAGCTTTAAAACCAAGGCGCGGAGCTCTGGGAGCGCTATGCTTCAACCAGTAATGGTATGTGAGGCAGGTTATGGCACTTGGCACTTGTTATGATGATGAAAGTGTTATGGTTGTATTTCAATATAATGTGTTGTTATGGCTGTCACTTGTATATAATCTGTAAGGGTGGTTGAGATGATCTGGTCCACTGGTGGGATGATGGAGGGAACAACTGGCAGGCAGAGGCCTCCTTATATAGACAAATGTGAGGGATTTTAGCCCCAGGGTACAGGCTTTTGAGGCATTTTAGCTGGCCTGAAGATCCAATGAGGGATTTTAGCTAGTCTAGTACATGCAGGTGAGGGAATTTGGCTGGTGAGAGCACTGCCTTGAGGGAATTTGGCTAGCCTACAAGGTCCTACTACAAAGGAATGCATGTGCACCTACAAAGGAATTCAATATGCACTATGTGCCAATAAAGGAATTCAATACAACACAAAGGAATTCAATATTCAATATGCATCCAGTATTCAAAATGAGCCATACTCAGAGTAAAGAATCCAAAAGATATCCCGTGACAGGTTGAAATCTGTGTAACTTCTAAACTATGAGAGATATGGGGTCAGTTGTAGTGGGTGACTAGGGGTTATTTTACCTGAGAAATCCATTTCTGATGTCATTTTTACCATATCTATAATATATAAAGAGATAATAATAAATTTTTATATTTTTCTGCGTAGAAACACAGTATTATTTACCACAGCGGATGGCTGTTTCCACGGAAAAAGAAGCCGGATATCTGCATCCGTGTAGATATCTGGATGCGCTGGGGCCATCTCTAGTCCTGAAGACTGATTTCTTTCTGTTTCTAGTTTATTATTTGATTCATTAAAAACTAATTATTTAGAATTAACGCCTTTAAATATTTGTGCTAGAATCTCTGACTTTGCTTGCCTGACTAAAAGAGACTGAGAAGTCCTGCTATGATTGTTTCTTCCAAGACCTCAAAATATTCTATCTCTTAGTTTTTATTCAATTTATCTCAAACACAGTATGAACACATGTATTTAGTCTTTTTAACCAGGCTTGCTACATGATTGTGCAGACTCTGGAGGAGGAATTGTGGTTTGATGCAGAGAATGAATTGGAGTCCACAAGTTGAAGGGGAGGGATGGGGGGGGGTATTGGGCTGACCCAACTTCCAAGATGGGCACATCAATCAGCCTGAATTTTGAATTGGTCTAGAGCCCTTGGGCTACCAACTTACCAAGCTTCCAAAAAGGTTCCCAAGGTGGGTCTGGGCTGTGCATGGGCAGCCCAAGCCCATTCTCCACCCTAATATTCCTCCAGTAGATTGTCTTAGAGCAGAGGGAATTCAAATACAAGTTCAGACTCTGAGCCAATTTTACACCCTCAAGTTGTCCCTATCCTACATTGCTTGCTTCCCTCTGCTCCAACAGAGGGGCCAACCAAGCACTGGGCTGTTACATAAAACATGGTCTGACATGAAAAATGTGAGATATTGGGGGCCAAAAACAATTTCAAATGGTCAAATTCAAAACCATAAATCCATGAGTCCTGGCGTATTTTGGTAAAGACAATGTCAGCCTACGTGATGCCAAGATGTAACATCTTCTAGCTACATGTGGTGCAAAAGCAAGCAAAAAGCTTAAGGATTTTTGGTTTTAATTCTAAATGAATAAATTCCAATAGGGGGTATCAAATATAACTGAAGAAATTCTGACCGAAGACGTGGAGAATTTTTTTGAGAGGAAAATTTTGGGGGCAACAAAAATGAATTTTGTTGGACTGACTCAAGGGTCGGGAAAAGAATGAGAGAGCCAATGTGTTTTTTACTTAGAGGAGACTACGCGTTAAATACAGTGCGCATCACCTCTTCTCGACTACCCCCAGATGAGAAAAAAATGAATATCAAAATGAATAAGACAGATTAAAATATGCTTGAAAAGATGACTGGAATAAGTGTTGGTTGATAAACACTAGACCAGGGTTCGAAGACTACAAGGATTTCAGCACTAGACAACTTAAAAAAATATCACACAGAACCTATCAAAAACAAAGTAAAAATCATGCATAAATTATTTATCAATTCCTATTTAATTTAACAGTGAGATAGATTAGTTTTTTAGGGATGAGGAGAAAAAGAGGTGAAATTCCAACAATAACCAAAGGGGGTTGGAAAAACGACTCCCAAAAATTAGTCGACGACTCCCGTTTTGGTCGAGGGGTCGTCGGCTGGGAGTCGTTCTTCTAAAAGATGGGCGACTTTGGGAGTCGGTCATCGAATGTGTTTTTTTTATTTTTTTAATTTATTTTTGGAGAGGCGGCGCCTTTAACACTTGTCATGTTTAAGGATACGTGGGAGTCAACCGGCCCGCTCCCAAGAACGTAAGGTCTACTCCTTCCGGTCAAGATAAAAGAAAATCTAATCAAAAACGAAGACTCGTTGCGAATTATGAGGAAAACGTGGCCCATTGCGAGTAGTAAGACCACTATTTAAAAAAAGCTAAGAGCCCTTGATTAGCGAGGGGGTGGTCACTCCCCTATGAAGTCATATGCTCCATCACAGCACATAGAGACGCTTCTCACACTGAGGCCCGGTAAACAGGCTCGGTTTCAAT